CTGCATGGTGTGAGATACTATTAAAAGTTAAAGCTGGTGTGTTTAAATTGCTTAAAGCTTAWGTAGTTAAACACATTTAAACTGGTATTTAACAAACATTCCCCTTAGAAAAGWTCAGAGCTTGTAGATAGTTGCTCATAAAATATATTCTATGATTTAAAATGGTTATCTTATTGAACATTTCCCCCTTTTTTAAATGAAAAACAAAAAAGTAAAAGAAGCAATTAAAGAGCCAGTCAAGAAGGTAAAGGAGAAGCAGGATTCCAAGAAGGATGAAATCAAAGATGAGGAAGAAAAAAAGAAGGCCAGAAAAGGAAAGGATGCTGCTGATCGAAAGGACAAGAAAGCTGTTGAGCTGGATAAAATAAAGAAAGATTCTGACAAGGTTAAAAGAAACAAAGGAAAGGAAAAGGAAAAAGGCCTAGACAAAAATGTCAAGTCCAAGGAGACCACAAAAAAATCAGCCAGTGAAAAGGATGGTACTACTCAGGTGGGAAAAGTCAAAGAAGCAAAAAAGATAGCTAAAGGTCCATCCAAAACTTCTCAAAGCTCAGCAAAGGAAGACAAGAAAGAAAAGAAATAATCAGAGTGCCAATTATGCTAAGTAGGAATAGATCTGATGGATGAGAAATTCTGCATAKTAATAGACATATGAGAAATGTGGCATTAAGAAAATCATGTTTTGTAGAAATGATAAGTATGAAGAWAGGTTATATATGAAAATTGGTGCACATGTTCTGGCATGCAAAAAAAAAAGCAAAACGACTGCTGTGAAAGTCAAATATGTTCATATGCTAATGTATCCTGCATTACTGTATATGTATTGAAAACAGAAATACCAGATTAACGGGCAGTTACTTTAAGAACACTCTAAATCTGCATCTGCTTTTTTTTTTTTTTTTTTTTGATTCGCTTTGTATGAAAATGCTCTTTTCTTGGTATAGGGTTAAAGTGTAATGTTGTGTATAAAGTATAAGTTTAAGAGCAAATAAGGATTATCTGGACACATGCAGGGAAAATCCTTGAGGTTTTTTTCGCTTCCCAAAAGCAGAGTGTTAATGGAATATATTGTCATGAGATGATAGTGAGGAAGTGTAAATTATTCTCTGTGAAACTTTGTTGCATTAGGAAAATTGATAAAACTATTTCAAAGTTGGTCTGAATGTCTGTGTAGTGTTGCATTTAATTGTATGACTTCAGGGTAGACTCAGCCAAAGTGCTACTGCGCTGCCTCTATGCATCCTGTAACAGTATATACAGTATATTCTGCCTTTTTTTTTTTTGTCTCCTCTATTATCTTTTGGTCTGAACTATCAACTTTTTAGTTTACTGTAGCCATATTTTCCAAATAATTCAACTGTTCAAAATCAGAATCTCATTTTTTCAGTGTCCTTTCACTAGTAGCAGTCTTCCACTAGAAACTTCTGGTGAATACTTGTGAAAATGAGACCATTGCACTATTTATGAATATTGTTGGATTTCGTTCCTGTTTAAAAAAGAGTGGTATTCTTTTATTACTGTGCTCTAGAGGAACTTGGTTAGAGCTTCTGTTTTACAGTTATTAAGATCGTGTTCTTCAAACGACACTTTTCAAGTGCATGACACTAATTTATAATACATATTTTTAACAGTGAGAAGTGATTTATCCAGAAGTCTAATTAGAATATATAGGAAGTCACAAAATGTTTCTTCAGAAGAATTTATCCTTCAGTATTTTATTGGATCTATAATTGCTTTCTTGTTTATTGAGGAAAGGAATATTTTCTAATTTTACTAGACAAATAATGTTGCTTATTTTGTTGAAACATTAATTGCCCAATAAAATTATAAAAGATTCAGAACAAAATTTGTGATGATAGTTGAAGATTCTTTTACTATAATATTACAGGATTTTTTCAAAGAAAAACAACGAAGTAGATATTGAGCTCATAAATGTGAGTGGTTGTAAGATAATATTCTGAAGGTTGATTCCTGTGTTCTATTCTCTGTTTTGCTTCAATTTTTGGTATAAAACTGTTGACAGTGCATATATGTGTGCATAGAACATTCAGCTATTTTTCAAATACTTACATATGTGGTAGGAAGGGGAAAAATGTGTTTTATGAACATTATACCATTGAAGGCATCATTTGTTTGTCAAAGTAAAAAACAATATTGTCTTCAGGAATCTTATTTCTTGAATGCATTTGTGTATTGAGTTTTAATTTTTATTTCAACAATGATAGAGATATGCTTATTCATCTTTCTCTCTTTGTTGTTAAGGTACACATTTGATAGATGAACACTAATATCGCAATTGTTGTTAAGGGTGGTAGCAGAAAGAGAACTTGTACATAGCTTTTTTTCCTCCCTAACTTGGCAGAAATTGTAAATATCTGGAGAGTGAAATTTGGAATGAATTACTGTATATTCCTACGTGACCCAAAGTCTGTCTGTCTGGTCCTAAAATAGTTCATTTTTCAAACAACATTTCTTTTGAGCAGCACTGTAGGCTGGAAATAGGCTGAATAGGCTGAAAAAATTGTGCCTATGTACAAATAGGCATAAATGAAAATGAGGTTTTTGACTGGACATTTGTTGTTCTCTTGCAATAATCTCTGTGGAGCATTGCTGTGATCCAGATAACATGGCAAGTTACCACCTTAAACTCAAAAAAAAATGCACCAAAAGTAAAAATAGTGTAACTGTATTTTCATATTTTCAAATCAGATGAAATAGTATCTTACAAAAAATATCTGATATAGCTTAGGTTTAAATAGGAGACAGCAAGAAACACATATTTGACAGATAAAGCATCACAGCCCAAGTGACGAATGTGCAAACTTTCTAGTTTCTTCTTTCCTTTTATGCACTGTAAGTGCTTCCCCGTTCCAAAGGACTGAGTATCTTATGAAATGCTTTGAATGATATTTTTTTGCTTATGAGGCAGAGAGAGTGTTGTCTTAAAATACTTGTGGGTTATGAGAGGATATGGCCTAAGAACTTGTTTTAAAATGTGTATATTGTAAGCTGGTGATTTTTATGTGTCAAAGCCGCTTCTTCTCTTCTGTATTCTGAAGTCTGAGAATGTGGCTAATAATTTATCAACTACTTTTCCCTTGTTCTGTCTTCAAACATGATTAGAGAATGAAGTAACTTATTGCTATTTTAGTCTTTTACTATTACTGCAGCAAAAGGTGAATGAAAGTTTTACCCAGGAATATTTTAGATTTTTTTTTAATGAAAAAGGAGAAAATTGGCAAAGAAGAAAGGTGTAAATATGACTTTTTAAAAATCTAGCTTGTGATCTTGACTCTATAGTAATGGGCTCTTAGTTAAGATATTTTTAAAAATATTCAATTTAGTTCAGGTAATACAAAAAGCAAAATTAGAATTAATTAATTTTTTTCCTGTTCATGTTACATATATTGGATAGTGGATATGTGCTTTTCACGGTCTGTAAAATAATACAATCTATAGTTTACATGAAAGTGTTTTGAGATACACCAGTTGTGTCGATAGTGAGATATATCTGACTTAGCAGAGACTTTATGATATATATGTTAAGAACTTCAGTGCCTTGAATACAATATTTCTCATGTTTCACATATAGTCTACAAGAGTCTTGGTAGCAGTAGAGTGCTCATTATCGTTAACTTCTTTTATTATCATTATAATTCATTCTTTTCATTCAAGTGATTTCTTTTCATATTACTCTGAGAAACCAGTTCTATAGCCTCCTCTTCCTCTTCCCCTTTTCCTTTCTCCTCTCCTCCAGAGGAGAGATGCTGTTTGTTTCTTGATTTTAGAAAATAACTTTAACTTAATTGACCTTGCAACTCATATAAAATCAAATATCGGAAAACCATCCTAGGATCACAGGAGAATTTTGAAAGTCACTTCAGGAGGTTAATAGTCCAGCATCYTACTGAAAGCGGAGTCTATTGAGAGATGAGACCAGAGTGCTCTGAGCTTTGTCTTGTACAATCTTGCAAAGCTCTAAGGATGGAGACTGTTCAACATTTATGAACAGCTTGTTCCACAGAGTGACTGTGCTCACAGGGAAAAACTTCTTCCTTACATCCAGTCAGAACCTGTCTTGTTTAAATCTTTCTTCAATCCTTCTTAAAGGATAACAGAAAAGAGGATTAAGCTAACATCAATAAATTCTTCTTGAGGATGTGTGGCATAATCTCTCAAGCTTTGAACTGTGCTTTCTGAAACAAGGACAATAAATGAGAATGAATGACCATCTTAATATTGGGCAGATATTTATCCAAGATTTAGATTACCTTTATCTCTTTCCTTAATGTTGATCGTTATTGTTATTGCTTTCTTGCTTTTCATGATGTTTTGATCCTGAAAAGACTTAGTGGTATAAATAGAAAGCATCTTGGTGGCAGAACCTCAGGGGTTAAAGGAAATGAGAGACTGAGAGTACTTAATATAGAAGACAAAGTTAGATCTAAAGGTTTCTTCACAAATTCCTATGTAATTAATGCGTGTATRTATTTAATCCTATATATTAAATCTTGGAAGGACTGATAATCTCCATCATAATCAACAGTATATTGTAAAGAACAAGGCAATTAATCATGAAAATCTACTTTTAAAAAAAGAGCCTATGAAGGACTTTTTCTCCAGGAAGCTAAAACAAACAAATTGCTGCATATCCTTCTTATAAGTACTGAACAGAACATGAGACTAGCTTAGTAATTTGCTTAATTTCTTTGAATTAGACACAGCTGCTAAAAAATCCATCTGKTTTTTTTTTTATTTTTTTGGCCTTCAAAATATATATTTCTATGCTATATGAATATACTTTAGTCTTTGTGTACATTATATCAGTATGGCCCTGTAGTAATGATGTATTGTTTGGATAGCTTTTGAAGTGTCTTTTTTTCCCTTGTGATTGAAATAATTGAAACAAGATTGTCTCTTTYTTGATATATAATTGAATGAAAACAAACAAACACACAAACAGAAAACCCTGAAGTTAACTTTATAACTGAAAAATGCAGGCCTTAAAGAAAGATCTGTCCCAGCACAGACAACATCATCAGACTCCGAGGACCCCAGTCAGCCTGCTGAACCATTTGTCGAAACAGGTAAGGTGCCTGCACCGAAGATGAAACAGAATACTTGCTGTTTCATTTGGACTATATTTGTTTCTTTTTTATGGTATTTCTTTTGGGTATAAATATAAATCTTTCATGCAATTGCTTTTATGTGGTGTTCCCTCTGCTAGAGTTCATTTAGTGGGAGTAGCTGCTGGTAACTTTGTGTAAATCATCAGCCACTGAAAGYTTATAGGTTATATGTTGAGAAGGCATTTGTCTGAGCTCTCATAAATACCAGTGGAACATTATCACGTTAGATGTATGATTATATCACTTCAGATGGTGTACAGTTGTAATTATAATATATATGCAATGGTATACCCAGTTAGTCATCATAGCAGGAGCTTTTCCACGTTTTTAAAAAATGAATTTTTATAAAATTATTCACCTGCATGGAGAAAAGCAGATGAAACAAGATTACCATTTATAAACTTATATATTATGCRTATATATATATATGCACACATATAGTTTTGCTTTGTGTCTACACATATTTTTATTTTGTGTCTGTACATAAAATCACATCTCAGGTTGGCTCAGGCTAAGCAGATGAAAATATAGAAGCAGCTATACAATGATCATTCTCATTCCCAATTAAAAACAAAAATAATATGAAAAATTAGTCATAGCACTGTTCTCATTTTCTGAATTGGTTTAACAGCAGTAGAAAATTATCTTGCAATTGTTGAAATCAAGCACTTTTGAATTTTTATACTTTTAAGCTAAAATTAGAAATTAGAAACAATAACTTATTCACTGTTCACTTTTCTACAAAAACAGTTTCTCATGAACAGAGTAAACTTTGTGCGTACTGTTGAAAATCACTTTTTCTAAAAAAAAATTTTTTTTAAGTAAAATCTATTAGGTTTAAAAGCAGTTATAGTAAAGCAAAGATAATTTTACATGGCACTTTTCAGGTATGTGGTATGCATTTTGCTGTTAGTCAGAGACTCTGTTTTCCAGTTTTTAGAAGAAATGYGTGCTACTAGAGGGTTATATGAACCTAAGCCTGATAACCCATGAAAGYGGAGCACATATTTAATAAACTGGAATGCAGAATCTGTTTTTAAAGATTCAAATGGCCTTCCTTATTGCTTATAAGATATATGCAATTTAAGGTATCATTTTCATGTGTTTATGTAACTGGTGTCATTACAGACTTTTATTTGAAAATACAATTATGTTTGTTTTTACACAATTAAATTACTGTTGATTTTTTTGATTTTAATTTTATGTGAAGGCACTTCACTTATGTGAAGGCCGCACTTCTTTTCTGATTCCTGTGGTGTTCTGGGCTTGTGTGTTAGCTGATGTTGACTTGGCCCTGAAATTATTCTGGAATTTCTTCTGTGGTGAATTGCCTGAAGAAGTCCTTACTGTTGGAATGCTAGTATATTTCTTCCTACTTACTAGATAATTAATCCTCCACTTATGAAAATGTCTGTTTGTTGTCAAACTATGGCATATTGGTGCTCCTATCTAAATTATAGGAATGTGGTGAATGAAAGTTTTAGTAAAATATTTCTCAGGAGAGAATTCTTGGAAGGAGTGGTTATCTGAAGTAATGGTGTTATGACCACTGGGAAAAGACACAGAACACCCATTGTAAGTAGCTGCAAATAAATTCTTTCAGTTTGTCTTTAGGAATTTTATTAGAAATTGATGCTATACTTTCAGAAGTGGAGAGTAAACAAAACCAAAATATGTCTGTAGGGTGTGATATTCATGAAATGAAACTCTACAGAACTTAGAATGAGACTAGAAAAAGCTGCTAACCATGAGCTAATGTATACACTTTGTCCTTTGCACTTATCTCTGCTGCAACTTGTAATCCTTTCAGAGCACAAGAATGCTGAAATAGAGTTGGAAGAGGAAATTCACTCTGTTCTTCATGAMGCTTTGCATTTGCAGTCTGGTATGCACTAATACTTCAGAAATCGCTGAAGGATTTATAAATACTATCCTAGGATAGACAGATCTTAAAATTCTGTTTTGATAATGCACTTTAAATTCTTTTGCTTGCATAGAAGGACCTAATAAATAGATTTATAATTCCCAAGAAAATTTTATAAATTTAGTCAGCAARTTCTACTACTGTGGCTTATTATTCAAGAGTTGTTGTGCAGCTGTAGTTCATATCACTCAGTTGATGAGATATTACTCAAAATATGCAGTGCAAGAATGAATAAATGGAGATATTTTAAATGTGTTTTTCCCCATAAATGATTCTGAAACTGCCAAGGAAGTTCAGCTATTCTGACATTATGCTGCTGTAAGGGGCAGATGATTTGTCTGCCCCTGTCCCCTTTAAGGAGTAGCTGAAAAATATTTAAAAGCTCAATATGATTAGTAATAAAATCGAGGAGATGGTTTTCTTTAACAGTCTCTGTCAATAATTAGGGGAGAGACATGAAGATGTACATGAAAGCATACATGATCGGTGGCGAGCAAGGGGAGACATACATGATGAAGCTTTTGAAACTCCTGCAGCAGATGATTTGCATGGAGAGTTAGAAAATGAAATTCCAGAACAATATGAGTTGCCAGACTCCAACCAGAAAGGTATCTGAGAAACTAAATATAATTCAAGTTAAATTTTGACACAAATGACAAACAAATGGAAACGTGTCTCTTTAAGAACTTAATCACTCAGTATTAATTTCTGCTTGTGGTAGATATTTGACAGTATCAATCTCTGTAAACACCGCTGAGCAAATATCAGTCAACACAGGATATTTTATTGTCATGTGTTTTGACCTGCAGATAACTATTCTCTTACAGGTTTATTGGCTTTCAACCAAAAAGAAATCATGCCCCAACAGCATTTCTTAACCAAACAGAACAGCTTTTAAAAAGATTATCTGTGTGGAATCTGCTTCTTCACTTTTTAGCTCRTGAAACTATTAAAAGTATATGCCAACAGCCCTTTGTAGACAGACTATATGTGAACTGTAGGGGAAATATCAATGAGAACATAAACAGTTATATCCTGTTGCCTCGAAGCCGTAACAGGCTGAAACAAACATAAAACATTAAAGTAAAATCATCTAGTCTAAAACCTAATTAGAAAAAAGTATTTCTTAGAATATACTTTTATCTGAAGTACTGAAAACTTTGTATACTAAGATACTGAGATATCTCTTTGTTAAACTCRTGCAATAGGTGTCATCTAAAATTTTTTATTTCTGGAAGTGAACTGAGATTCTTCTTTCATGAGTGAAGTAGTTCTTTTCTGTCTGAGCCTATAGCTGCTGTTTTTTGTATCCCTTCCTTTCATCCATGTTGCAAGTTGAAGTAGAGTAATAGATGAGACATACAAATCCTATTTTTTAAATCTTTAACAAGGTTATTTATTAAGAGGGCAATAGTGAATATATTTTATGTTGTTTATGTTTAGAGTTTTTTGTGCAGGTAGATTTTAAAACATTATGCTTGAATTCTGGAGAACAATGTTCTGAGGAAGTTTTCTTTATTTGAGCATGTGTGTGTGTGTGTGTGTGCATATATACATACATATTCATACTCAGCATTACCTATATATTTTTTCTTTCAACCTATAAAATGCCTTATGGCATTAGAAGAAATTTGCTTATAGTGCCTGTTTAGAAATGTGACTTGTGTAAATGTGTATTTGAATTTCAATGTGTAAATATCTATTTGTCTATTAGACACTGATGTTTTAGCAGATGATCTTGGAGCAGTGGACCCTGAAACATACGAAGTTCCAGGTATAWTTCAGTTTTCTCCAAACTCTGTTATACTGATTTTATAGACATTGTTCTTGTCTTGTATTGTCTTGTCTTGTATTCTTCAGATATTTGTCTTCTTACTTGAAACCTTGCTGTCATCTTATGCAAGCATACTTTCCATCAGGACTAATAGTTTCTGTGCGACTGATTATACTGTCAAAGAGTCAATCAGTACCAAATGCTTCCTCATGAATTACGCTTGCTCTAGCTTCTACACATCCTAATTTATGTTAATGTTTTATAGAATTTTGCCTAGATTAAACCATTGAGCATCTAGACTCCTTCATGCTGCACTTGATACCATATGGGAATTATCTTATTTTTGTTTCATTAKTTCCTCTCTCCCTGCAGTTTTGTTATCAAATCGAGCACATAAAAAGACAGCTCTGTTTAGGAGCTTTAAGTGGATATTACAGTTTTTTGTTTTCTGAAAAATATTTTCTTCTGCATATTGATAGTTCTCTCTAGTACACGCAATGCCCTTCCATTTGCAAATATTGATTTGGATTAGGCTTAGTTGGCTATATCTTAGTTCTGGATTTAGCAGCATTACATCATGTCACATAAGTCAGAAAATAATTTTGTTTCTGTTAAATACAACTAATACCATTTTTGTGAGAGACTGCTGCTTTTCAGCTACCAATTTGGAATCCATGCTGCTACACCTCAAAAGAGAAGAGAGTAGTTGTTATAACTGGTACTGTGTGTTAAGTCTGGTGCATCCTATTGAGCATAGTTACAGTATCTCAAATACTGTAAGCAAGCACAGAGGAAAAGAATCAAAATTCTTTAACTAATCTATGAAAAGTAGTAAATTGCTCTATTTCTGTGATTCTGTTAAGTGAATGTAAATATTTTTCAAGGCACATTTTCTGGCTACCATAGGCACTGGCTGTCCTCTGTAGATAAGTACTAGTGATTCTTTCTGTATGTTAATAAATAAGCTACTTTGGAATTTGGAGGATTAGGGAAGATAATATTTCTGATTTGGATTAGAAGAGTCGTTCAGAAATCTTCCTAGCAGCTCATGGCTTTCGTAGGCCTACTRTTTTTATTGTTTATAAGGTTTTAAAAAGTTGATTTTGGGCTAGATGTATACCGCAGAGGTGCTTTTAACGGTTGAAAAATTGTGAGTGGAAATTAAAATAATAGAACATTAAAGACRTTATTTTTCAATTTACAGTTTCATATGAATATGATATGGGTGGGGAAAACACAGAAAGGGAACCAGAAGCACCAGGTTTGTAAATTTTCATAGTCCTCTAATTTACRATGTAATCACTGTAATCACTTATGCATTTTTAGAGTCATGTCAGCACATGTCAGCACAAAGTCATGTGCTGTATTCACTCTGTGGTTCAACTTTATTTTCAAATATTTTTTCAGATAGTTTAAAAAAATCAGATTTTTTGTAGTACTGATTTTGCAGCTATATTACTATTATAGTTGTGAATGCAATACTCCATGAATCCAGTCCACAAGAACCACATGACCTTTATTTTGTTTTGTTGTGGTGAATAGATCTCCAATCTAATCAATGGGTTCAAGTCCTACTTATATTCTCAGTTTTAAGCCTAACCATAAATACATGCAGAATTTTAGCATGTTGTGTGACTACTGAGTGTGTTTACAATACAAATGTTACTTTCAAATAAAATATTACATACATTCAAGTATATTTAGTTCCACGTTCATCATAAATTAAGAAGTATGTGACATTTTAACTTAGGCTTTTTAGCTATCATATAAGAAATAGAATACAAAATATCTAATATCTTTATTTAAGGTGACACTGAGCTAGAGCTAGAAAACGCTATTGAACATCTTACAGGTATGATCTAAAAATTGTTCTAAAGAAAGTGTCATTGAAGTTTTTCCCCAAACCAAGCCAATAAATACATAAATAAATAAACTGAAGCATGTAAAAAAGTACATTAGCAAATGAAGCTGATACTGAAAAACACAGAAGTGAGAATAGGGACCACTTGGCACGTTATTTTTTCTTAATAAAAATCAGTATTTAAAATAATTGARAATTGATGGAAAGCATCTGTCTAAGAGTTAAAATTGGAAATCTTGGTCTACTGAAATGGCAGTGCTATAGTGAAAAAGAAAAGCAAATCCAAGATTTTTGTTATTCAAAATTCATCAAAGTTCAGGTTTGTTTATTCAGTGTTCCCAGCAATTACCCTTAACCGTGTATCAGCTTTGTTCTTTGTGTTGTATGTAAGTTTTATCAGCATAGAGCTCAATTTCACTTCTGCTTTGAATTGCCTGTTCCCTTAGCTGTTGAGGACGCTCCAGAGGAGCTATATGAAGTTGTAGAGCCAGGTATGTATTGTGTCATTGAGATCCCAAACTGTTTAGATGAAATGTATGGGTTTTGAAGTGTCATATTAAAAATGATAATTGTATGCTTTTTTCATAGTTTCTACTGCAGARGAAGTTATTGAGGTTTTGGAAATTAATGAAGAGCCAGGTAATTTTTTTTTTTAATAGATCACCAAAAGCGTATTTTTTTTTCCCGTCATATTGGTTATTTCTGTGTGTGTCAATGATGCATAGAAATGTGCTCTATGAAGTCCTTCTAGCTTCAACTGAAGGGGCAACATGTGTCCATTTCCGAGACTACAACTCAAGAAGGCYGTTGTAAACTTTTGTATTTGCTGCCTTAGTTCCAGAGAATTTCAAATGAGTAGCAGGTCGAATGTAATCCAAAGCTGTGCTCCAAGGAGGTCAAAGCAGCAGTGAAGATTTTTTTTTTTTCAAACATGACTTCCGTTCAGTCGGAGCAAAGTGATTTACATGGGACTTTTGTCTGGGAGATGGTGGTTGAATTTGATGCTGTTTCATTTATTTTTTCCRTCTGAAAAGCATGCTGTAATGTAAGAAATTGAGAAAGTGATCATTGATGTTTCCCGGAAATAACAAATAGAACCCACTTCCCAAGTGATAGGAATTTAAATCAATAATGAAGAAGGGCTAGTCTATTGGACATAATAGCTACTTGGTGACATATTTTTTACTGTTAAATTAAAATAGTTGCTTTTTTCTTAACTTTTCYTTGTTATTTGATGCTGATTAGAGTGGGAGGTGTTGGTGGCAGRAGAGAGATAAAAACCAAATTGTAGTGGTGCTCTATGTAATTTCATCTTTAATTTTCTCTGTGACAGCAGAAAGCAAACCTCCTGAAGATAGAGTGGCYGGTGAGCCTGAAGAATCAGGTTTGTGTAGTACTATTTACATGAATTTGCTACTTTTTGATAGCTGTATCCCTTTTTTTTTGGCRACATACAAGACAGTGATAAAAGTTTTTATTTTATTTTACTTTGTTTTTCTTGAGGGAGTGGGAGGTAAGAGGCATTTTAATTGGCATAGTGGAAATCACCTGGATTCTTTAGTTTGAGAGCTTTACTAGTGACTAGCTTAAATACTCCTCCTGTATTAGAAAGAATTGAATTTAGAAGTCAGAATATTGAACAGCTTAAAAAAAAAAGAAAAAGCCATATTTATTATATCTCCACTGTCAGCGGTGTATGAAAATGTGGGACATGATTGGGGTACTAGCCCCAAACATTAAGTTTGTATGTTTAAGTTTTAAAGGATAGGTAATGTCTTTCAAAATAAATAAAGAACTCTCAAACTCTCCTCAAGACGAAAGTATTTCAAGTTATCCATTAAAATATTGCTGTATGTAGAAATGACTTACRAGCATTTTCATTATGAAATCTCAGTCATTTGTAGATCATTTAATGAATTTTGAGTAAAGATGCTGATTTTGCTGAACTTTATTTTTTAGTCTGTCTTGTAATGCAGGAAAATGTTTCAGATTCCTCTGCTCCGCTCCACACAAAATCCTGAAAACAATTAACATATGTAAAATTCTTAATACTAGGTTTTAAGACAATGTAAAATATAACATATTTGAATATTTTTTATTGTCTTGAATCAGCTTGGTGTCGTATTATTTGTGTATATTTTTTGTCTTTAAAATGTCATGGATTTTAATATTGATATACATTTTTTTTTAACAGAGGACAGAGTGCATGGAGATTATAATGAAGAACATGGTATGGAAACTGTTATCTTTAGTGAAATGACAATATTATAACACTTTTTTTGTCATATTATTCTTATTATCGTTAAGAAGAAAATCTTGACTTCCACCTTTAGGGTAGAAGTCTAGATCCCACGGAAGAAGTTTTAGAGGCCTAAAGGCGCATTCAACCTATTGCCTGCTTCTGTCTCCCCTTACCTTGCTTTTCTGCCTCAGCTGTGAAGCCTTTGAAAAGATGTATGAATATAGATGGGATGTAAAGCTAGAGAGACCTATTTTTTTCCCAAGCTCATAGTTTATCCTCCTTTCCAGGTGAGACTTGTATTACTATAGTTTCTAATCAAGAATCACTTCTGCACCTCCTACCCAAAGATAAGGAGAACTTGGAGGTGCAACTCCTTCATATGCTGTGATGAGATGAACAGAGGACCCCTTCACAGGACATTGTCCTGTCCTCCAGGACAATCTCTACATGCTTTTCATAATAGATATCATAGAGGTTCCTAAAAGGAATTTGCATCAATTCACTGTACAGTCAGTTCCAAAACCATTTAATGTCCTGCAGTCTATTCTGATCATGACACAATGACAATAAATTAATCTATTTTGTCAGCAATTAYGGATTTTGGCAAGCAGGATTTTCACAGCAGTCATAATTGAGTGCTGTGATATGACTTGTAAATACTATTGGATGAATCAATTCAACTATTTCTATGYCATTCTCAATTCTGTGGTTAGACTGATGAAGATAATATGTAGTTCCATTCATTTTCTAAAGAGGAAATTCCAAAATAGTTGATTGTCAAAAAAATGTATATCTTTACTATCAGATTGACAGATTTTAACCCCTCCCATAAAAACTTTTCCATATGCTTTTAGCCATATGGATAATGAAACAGATTTTTCTTTTCTTTTTTTTTTTTTTTTTTTTTTTTGAAAAAGAAAATAGCAGAAAAGAAGGCAGGGAGGCCCAGATTCTTAATCTTAAATGTAATGCTTCTGTTCTTGACATTAGCTACACAACTASAACATCTTACTTTTACCTGAAGAACTATTTTAAGTCTCCAAATGCTAATGTCTTGGAAATCAGTGGAAGTATGAACCGCTCTGTTCTAGAGTCCCTGTATAATCTGGTTCTTTGTCACATATTTTTCTRCTCTTATGACAGATCCGTCTCTCCATTCCCACCCCTTTTTCTCTGCCTCCCTCTTTTCTCCCTCCTTGCCATTCTCACCACCTCTTCCTCTTTCTCCCTCTTACTCTTTCTTCTCCCCCCTCTTCCCACATTTCTTTACTCAGATATGCCAAAACATTAGCTTTACGTTCACATTTGGTATTTATGTGTAGAATTTATCCTAATGGCTCCAGTCTATTTAGTCAGGCACTGAAACTAGAGAAAGTCTCTGACGGCATTATATTTATCAGTAAAAAAAAAGAATCGGATGCCTAACATCCAAATTTATAAGGCAGGCCATAATTATTTTAGGATGCTTTTTGTAAATCAGCCATCCAAGAATTTTATTCTGTTTTTTTTTTTTTTTTTTTTTTTTTTTTTTTTTTTTTTTCAGAAAATATGAAATATGAGAAGGAGACTGAGAGCCAGCCAGTCTATACGGGTAAAGACAATATATCTATAGATGACATTTAAAAAAATCTAATTAAAAATAATTAAAAATTGCATTCATATGTGACTAGAATGGAAATGTATGTAAAATAAGTATTACTGGAATTTAAATACTAAATTTTTAAATCAGATTTCTTTTTTTTAAGGAGGTTAAAGATAACATAAAAACTGTGGAAATGTGTAATGTTCTATCACAATATATTGCCCACTCTGGAAAAGGTGCATTACAGCATCTGTAGTATACAGATTAGGTCTTTACATATGAATTGAAACAAGATTCTTCCTTTAATATTCCATCCTCAAGGATACTTCCTTAATGTCTCCAAGTTTAAGGTCTTGAGACTAAATGGAAATAGGAGAAAAGAGAGTACATGGGACTTTCTGCAAGCTTTTGGAACATAGTAGTTTATCCTAGACCTTAACCCTGCCGCCTGCCAGGACTTTTGCTCTAACCCTGTAACCAGTGCTTACTGCCTGAAGTTCACAAAGAAGCATTTTACAGGAAATGTGTTCAAAATACACAAGCTGCCAATAATATCTCTGCTTTGATGGATACTTTTTGCTGTACTTCTAGTACTTCTAACAGAAGTACTACACAAAATAAGGTTTGATTTGCAGTGCTTCCTCTGGGTCCTATATTCTTTCTTGTCTTGAAGTAGCAGCCCTTGTTGGGGTCATCTCAGATGGACAGTTGAAAAAGGCACAGTAGTTCAGTTTAGAATGAAGTCAGGAAATATTCTAGCATTGGATACTTTGGAATATCTATTCCATCTCATTTGTGTTTGAGGAAAGTCAAATGAATTAAAAGGGGTGAATTCAAAGAATGAAATTATTTATTTATATATGTGTGTGTGTATTGTATGTATGTATTTTTTTTCCCTGCAACCCAGAATTTAATTTGAAGGACTTGCAGGTTAGACTTGCTTAAACAGGAAGGAAAATGGGATTCCCCAGGAAGTGGTACTCTTATCTAAATAGACAGATTATACAGATTTAGGATTGTCATTGTAAAGATTTTAGAAGAGAAAGTTTTATATTATACATATAAGTATGAAATCTTTATACATATAAGTATGAAATATTATCTTTATCAGAGGTTATATATTATTCTGCAGCAGATTTGAATCTTATCTGAACCCTCCTGCTCTAGCGTCTGTTAGAATAGGCTATTGAATTAAGTAGACATTGGCAGAATCCTAAATGGCAATTCCTATTTTTTCTCTTAAAAATACATATTAAGAAATAAAAAATCTGCAAACCTTTGTGTAGGAATTGGGTGGACAGGAGAAGTGTAAGAGTGGAAGCAAGAGGAGATAAAATGCAAAAYGAATTAGCTGTTTGAATTACTGAGTAAGGATATAATTTATTTATACATATATATATATTTATAATGCTTCCCCTTGCAATTAATTGAAGGATTGTATGTTTGTATCCTTGGACTATGTGGAGTCAGACTCAAACAAGGGAATCAGGAGTGGAATTACTTTTGGGGCACTAACTCTCTTCTTTTTACTATATTTAGTAAATTTTACTTTACCAAAACTTTACTAAACCTACCTACTTTACTATATTTAATATTTACTTTATTCTATATTACATTGCATCACCAGGATAAAAGCTTTAAATAATAAGCCGCAACGATGAGTAGTTCTCCTACTCCWGTCATTACTTTTGTCTGCCTTTGCAGACCATGTTTTAATGCTTGAATTCTGTTCCGACTTCTTTCTGCGGTGGTAAAGTAGACAGTCCTGTAACAAGGGAAACAGGAGTATAGCAAAATATAGTAATAAACCCAGCCAATGTGAGTAAGCTTTTTAAAGGCACATACATTTTCAAAACTAACATTCTCAATATTGAAAGAGTCTTTAACTCGGCACTGCTCCTATCTTGCTTGACATCCCCTTGAAGTAAAGGTCTTTTAAGGTAAGAGCTGATGATTTTATCTGTTTAGCTGTTTGTACATGTTTGTACGTGTACATACATCTACCAGATTCAGCGGGTATGGAGAAGACCAGAGTTCTAACCATTCACAAAGGAGTTAAGGATTCTTTTTCTTAATAAAAATCAGTTTTCATAGTTACAGAGAATTGATGGAAAAAAGTGTTTCTTTAAAAGTTAAAATTGGAAAACTTGCTCTACTAAAATGGCAATTCTGTAGTGGAAAAGAAAAGCAAATCCAAGATTTTTGTTATTCAAAATTCATCAAAGTTCAGGTTTGTTTATTCAGTGTTCCCAGCAATTACCCTGAACTGTGTATCAGCTTTGTTCTTTGTGTTGTATGTAAGTTTTATCAGCATAGAGCTCAATTTCACTTCTGCTTTGAATTGCCTGTTCCCTTAGCTGTTGAGGACGCTCCAGAGGAGCTATATGAAGTTGTAGAGCCAGGTATGTATTGTGTCATTGAGATCC